TTGGCTGGTGTTTCTTTGCTGCCACAGTCGCCCTGGAGCCGTGTTCTGGTGCGGAGGGAGCAAGCACTGTGTCCCCTGGGAGCATCCATCCCTCTCCTCCTGCCCTCCAACATGGGGCAATTCTTATTGCATTTTTTTCCTTCCCCAGGAAATGGCTACATCGAAGGCAAAGAGCTGGAAAACTTCTTCCAGGAGCTGGAAAGTGCGAGGAAAGGGGCGGGCGTGGTAAGGGCGTCTCCTAGTTTTGCTCCCTCTTTCCTCGGTTCCTTCCTGCCCAAAGATTCAGACTCATGCCAGCCCCATCTCCTTTGGGAATGGCACTGATGAGCGGGACCAGGTCTCCTCTGGGAGGGAAGGGGGAGGAAATGCTCCCATCCCCTCTCTCCTTGCTGGCAGGACTTAAAGAAGGACAACTTGGCCGACAAGATGAAGGAGTTCATGCACAAGTACGACAAAAATTCAGACGGCAAAATCGAGATGGCAGAGGTGAGTGGTGCTGGACCTGACCAACCCCCGGGGTGCTCATGTTCCCCCCCGATGTTCGTGTTTCCCCCTGATGTTTGTGTTCCTTCCCTGATGCTCCTGTTCCCTGCAGCTGGCCCAGATCCTGCCCACGGAGGAGAATTTCCTGCTGTGTTTCCGCCAGCACGTGGGGTCCAGCTCAGAGTTCATGGAGGTGAGCGGGACAGGCTGTGCTGGGGCTCCCCATGGGATTCCATCCTCAGTGCCCAGCTCCACCATGGAACAACAACTGGGAGCTGAAATTGCCCAAACTTCCCCCAGTCTCCCCCAAACTCCTGGCATTAACTCAGGACTGGGAGGCACTGCCAGTCTGGGGGGAGAGTGGGGTGTGGTGAGTTTTCCCAGTCCTCAGCACCTCTTGGGCACCCCTCAGGATGGTCAGGTGTCTCATCCCACCCTCTGGGCGAGGTAAGCTGCGAGGATTTGGGGTTGTTCTATAAATTCCCCCTCATAGCTGGTCCACAGTACCCAAGGAATGTGCTCGTGTGTGTTATGGAAGCCAACACTGCTCTGGGCCACCCCACAACCTCACCATGCCCTTGCATGGGGTGAACCCAGGGAGGTGGGAGAGAAATTGTGGACAGGGAACAAAACACGGCTGGGGGTGGAGAGGAATGTGCAGAGTCCTGGGGAGTGGGGAGGTTGTGCTTGGAAAATGAACCCCAGGTGAAGGCGATGGCTGAAATAAGAGCACGCTGTGGCATGGGGGGGGGGGGGGTAAGCTGGCACTATTGTTTAATTGGGGGATGCAGTTAAATGTTATTAAATATTAAAGCCTGGCCTTGCATACCGGCACGAGGACAATAGTGCTTGAACTCTTGGCATGGGGCTGGACAAAAGCACCCAGCCCCAAGGGAGAGCGTGTGGCACCGGCGAGGAGGTGGGAGCTGTGAGGTGACCCCTCTCCATTAGGGTGGTGGTGGGGATGCTCCCAGCGAGGGGTTATGGAGGACACACACATGTCAGGAGGGGAAGGGGGGCACAAGCTCACACTCCCACACTCAGGGTTCACGGTGGTCCCTCTGCAGGCTTGGCGCAGGTACGACACCGACCGCAGCGGCTACATCGAGGCCAACGAGCTCAAGGTGGGCTGCGGGCACGGGGTGGGCTGAGCTGGGTCCTCGCCAGTGGGACATTCCCACTGGGAGAGTTGGGGACAGGGACAGCCAGCAAAGCCCTCTCCTCCCAGGGTTTCCTGTCGGACCTGCTGAAGAAGGCGAACCGGCCCTACGACGAGCCCAAGCTGCAGGAGTACACACAGACCATCGTAAGTGGGACCCGTGGGACCGTTCCCCCCCTGCCAGGGTCTCACCACCCCGTGGCAGGTGGGACACAGGGGAGGGGGAGACAGTGGGTGAGTGGGTGCTGCTCCTGTCCCCACAGCTGCGGATGTTTGACATGAATGGCGACGGGAAGCTGGGCCTCTCCGAGATGTCCCGGTAAGGTCACGGGTGGTGAGAGGGAAGCAGTGGGGAGGCAAAGACACACCTGAAATGCCTGTGTCTAGGAAGAGTCTGCTCCAGCTTCCAAGGGAAAAAAACTGCTTTCCTATTTAATTTGCCTATTTTTTTTTTGAGCAAGAAGTCATTGTGGTTTAATAAGTGTATTTTCCTGGCTGCTTCCCGCTCTTCCCCGCCCTTCTTGTTTTTCAGACTTTTGCCTGTGCAAGAAAACTTCCTGCTGAAATTTCAGGTAAAATAATAATAATAATAATAATAATAATAATAATTATAATAATAACAACTCGTTCCTATTGCTTACACCTCCATCCCCTCCCTCACGGCCTGGTGTCCCTTGCCACTTTCCAGGGGATGAAGCTGTCCTCGGAGGAGTTCAATGCCATCTTTGCCTTCTATGACAAGGTAGGGAGACGGCTCCCGGGAGACATCCCCAAATAAATATAACTTGGGAAAAAATATCCCAAAATCACGTGTTTTTGGATGGGTCAATGCCCCCTGCACCTATGTCCAAGGGGGAATTGTGGGGCTTGTGTCCTTCCTGCTGCTGATGTCCCTCCCTCATTACCCAGGATGGAAACGGTTTCATTGATGAGAATGAGCTGGATGCGCTTTTGAAAGACCTCTATGAGAAGAATAAGAAAGTAAGTAGGGGGACAGAGCCTGGCTGCCACCCCCAGAGCCCCCCAGTTCCTCCTCCCCTCTCCCAGCAGCATCTTCCACCCCGCTGTGTCCATGTTCCATGGGGACCAGGTGAGATGCTGGTCCTGACCCTGCCTCCTCATGGGAAGCTGCACAGGAGCCGGGGGGGGGATGTGTAATCCCAGCCTGAGGATGCTCCCCGGGGAGAAACGGGGTGCCCACCCCCACTGCTCCCCCCATGCCTTGCAGGAGATGAACATCCAGCAGCTCACCAACTACAGGAAGAGCATCATGAACCTCTCCGACGGGGGCAAACTGTACCGCAAGGAACTGGAGATGGTGCTCTGCAACGAGCCCCCCATGTAGGACCCCCCCGGACACACGCCCCGCGCTCCTCCTCCCCCAAAGCAAGCACAACAGGGGAGCCCCCATCACTGCAGTGCTTCCCCACCAGCTCTTGCGTTTGCTGTAGGTCGCTAAAATCCCATTTGGGGGGGGAAAACTCTTATTTTTTTTTTACCCATCTGCCTGGTTTGTTTAATTATATGTTTGTTTTTTTTTGGGGGAGGGGGAGGGTGTTGTTTTCGTTCCTTTGGTCTCTTCTTGCGTTTTTATCATTTACCAAAGAACAGTTTACTAATAAATTCAAGTACTGCTAGACTGGAGTCCCTATTTCTCCATCCCATTGTGGGCTGGGGGGTGGCAGGGACAGGGGGGACCTCCCCTATATCCTGATCCCAGTGGGGATGTGGCTTCTTGGTGGAGGAGGGAGATGGAGCTTTTGGGAAAGCCCCTGTGGAATGGAAGGGCATTGGGAAATCCCTGGGGAGCAGAGTGCAGGCAGGCTGTGGGCACTGGTGTCCCAGCACAGCACACATCCCAGTACATCCCAGTACCTCTGAATACCTCCCAGTTACCCCTCCCAGACCCTCCCAAACCCTCTGGGCTCTCCCAAGGGTTGTTTTCCCCCCTTCCAGTTTTGGAAACCGGTGCCAGGGTGACGATGCTTGTGGAGTCTCAGTGCCACCTTTCCCAGCAGTGTGTGCAGGGGACACCCCAGTTCCCCCCCACCTTCCCAGTGCCCTGACACCAGGGTGGGTGCTGGGAATGAGCACGAGGTGCTGGTTTCAACACTGAGCCCCCCAAGGGGGGGTGTGGAGGGGTGGGGGGGGGAACTGGGCGGGGCAGCCCCTGTACTGTCCAGTACAGCCCAGTTCAGCCCTGTATAGCCCAGTGTGGTGCAGGGCAGTTCCATATGGACATGAACAGCCCAGTATGACCCTGTACAGCCCATTTTGGCCCAGTAAGACCCCACACAGCCCAGTATGGTGCAGTACAGAGCAACACAGTCCTGTATGGACCAGTGCAGCCCTGTACAGCCCAGTGTGGTACAGTGCAGCCAAGTGCAGCCCCATACAGCCCAGTATGGCCCCATACAGTCCTACACAGCCCTGTACAGCTCCCTATGGCCAAGCACAGATCAGTATGTCCCAGTACAGCCCTACATGACTCCTCATGGCCCAGTACAGCCTTGGGCAGCCCAGTATGGTGCAGTACAGTCCTGCATGGCTCAGTAGAGCCCAGTGTGGCCCAGTAGCACCCTGTACAGACCTGTAGGGCCTCATATGATGCTGTACAGTCCTATATGGCAAAGCACAGCCCAGTACAGCCCTTTACAGCTCCATATTGCCCTGAACAACCCTGTACGTCTTGGTACAGCCCAGTACAGCCCAGTGCAGTCCTGTAGGGCCAAGTACAGCCCCATACAGCCTAGCATGGCCCAATACAGCCCCGTACAGCTCCGTATGGCCAAGTACAGCCCCATATGGCCCTGTAGAGTTCATTATGGTGTGTTACAGTCCTGTATAACCCAGTGTGGCCCAACACTGCCCTGTGCAGACCTGTATGGCTCCATACGGTGCTGAACAGTTCTGTACAGCTGAACCACAGTGCTGTACAGCCTAGTGTGGTACAGTACTGTCCTAGCACGGCCGAGTACAGCCTGGCACACACAGGATGGCCCAGTACAACCTAGTATGGCTCACTGTGTCCCAGTCAAGTCCTCCATATCCCAACGAAGCCCAGCACATCCCCGCACATCCTAGCACAGCCCGCACAGCCCCGCACAGCCCTGTACAGCCCCGCACATCACAGCACAGCCCGCACATCCTAGCACAGCCCTGTATAACCCCGCACAGCCCCGCACAGCCCCGCACAGCCCCGCACATCCCCTCACATCGCAGCCCCGAGCGGGCGGGGGCCGGTGCGGTTGCAATGACCGTTCCGGCCGCCAGGGGGCAGCGCCGGCGGTGCCCGGCGGTGGGCGGCGCATGCGCGGGGCGGGGCGCTCGGCCGGCGCTCGCAGTGTGAGGTGTGAGCCGCCCGCCGCCGTCCCGCCGTCACCGCCGCCATGGCGCTCCTGCACAGCCGCCGGCTCCTCGCCGCCCCGCGCCTCGCCGCCGCCGCCTCCCGCGCCAGGTGAGGGCTGAGGGGCGGCTCGGCCCCCGGAGCTGCCCGCCGGTGCCGTTGGCGGAGGGGTTTCCCCGCTGGGAGGCCGCGGGGAGCGGGTCCCTCCGCGCGGCCCGCGGGTGACGCCGCGCTGGGAGAAGGGGGTTGGCGGCGGGACGGACCGCGCGCGGATTGGCTGGGGAGGGGGCCTCTCGCGCTCCGATTGGCTGGGGCGGGGGGCTCTCACGCTCTGATTGGCTGCGGCGCGGCCCGGCGCCCCCCGCCTGCCCTTGAGGCACCGCCGTGGAGGGCGCGTGGGCACCGGGTACCGGGGAGCCCCCGGAACGGGGGGGAGGCTCTGCCCCGAATAACGGGACTGGGGCCGCCCTGTGCCCTGAGAAACGCGGCGGGGGGGGACTCTGTGTCTTGAGCAGCGGCGTTGGGATGTTGCTCGTGCTGTGCACTGAAGCTGCAGGGCACGAGTGATGTGGTCGATGAGAGGCCGGACACGGGCCGGCCGTGTGCGCTCGCAGCCCAGAAACCGACTGTGTGTGTGTGTCCTGGGCTGGACCAAAGGCAGCGTGGGCAGCGGGGAAAGGGAGGGGATTCTGCCCCTCTGCTCTGCTGAGACCCCGCCTGCAGCGCTGTGTGCAGCTCTGGGACCCCAGCACAGGAGGGACACGGACCTGTTGGAGCGAGTCCAGGGGAGGCCACAAACATGATTAGAGGGCTGGAGCACCTTTCCTATGAGGGAAGGCTGAGAGAGTTGGGGTTGTTCAGCCTGGAGAAGGGGAGGCTTTGGACTGACCTAATTGTGGCCTTCCGGTGCCTAAAGGGGCTCCAAGAGAGCTGGAGAGGGACTTTTGACAAGGGCATGGGTGACAGGACAAGGGGGAAGGGCTTTAAATGGACAGAGTGCAGGGCTAGATTGGACATTAGGAAGAAATTCTTCCCTCTGAGTATGGTGAGGTTCTCTGGCACAGGTTGGCCAGAGAAATTCTGGCTGCCCCATCCCTGAAAGTGTTCAAGGCCGGGTTGGGTGGGGCTTGGAGCAACCTGGTCCAGTGGAAGGTGTCAGGGGGTTGGACGAGATTATCTTTAAGGTCTTTTCTGACCCAAAGCATTCCAGGATTCTGTGTGCTGTGAAATGGGCATACGGTGCAGCAGGTCTGCAGTGACCCCGTGACCCATGGAATGCAAACAGTGCTGGCTGTGCTAGAGCTGTGCCCTCAGGCTACAAATCCTGGCGTGAGGGCGTTTCTGTTCGGGCCAGTCCTGCACTGGCAGCTCTGGATGCCACTATCTCTGGTCAGCAGAGTTGGATGGAAGGATACAGGGTGCAGCTGGAGCCGTGTGAAGAGCCCAGAACAGCTCCACTAAGTACAGCTGACCTGAGAGCACAGGGCTGGGAACACCACTTGGACCAGGCATCCAAGAAGCAGAGTGTGCAGAGGGATCTGGGCAAGGCCTTGCTGCTCTCCAGAGCCCTTCAACTCTTGGCCCACACTGGCTGGGAAAGCTTTAAGAAAGTTTCCAGCCCATGTCAGAGCAGGAAAGCAGTGAGGTGTTTTAAATCCCCATTCCAGCAGATAAAGAGGGCTATTAGATATTGATTAATGCTTGTGAGACAAATGCTCCCTGTCCCTCTCCTTCTGAGGCAGCCTTCTGGCTCTCCTCAGAAGGGATGGAAGAGCAGCTATCTAGAGTTTGTGTTTTGTGCCCATGGACTGTGAAAGGTATTGGAGCCCCCTGGCATTAGCTTTGTTTTTCCAAAGCTTGTTATACAGCAAACTATAAATTACCAAGTTGAATTGAGGACACCCAAGAGACACAGACCATCCCTTTTGTAAGCAAAGTGCCTTGTGCACAGCCCCCGTTATTCCTGTTCAGGAATAGAGAGTGCCTTGTTATGCAACAAGGAATGCCAGTGATTAGCAGTTTCTGTTTCCTTATCTTCAGCAACATAACTGGTGGTGCTCAAGCTGTTACCATTACTCGGTGCTGAGTATGCTCCTTCTGAAATCAGGACAAAGATAAAGAGAGAGGAAATGGTTAAAATGGCTCCCTTGGCACACAAATGCTAATTAAGGTGATAACTCAGTCTGCTGCTCTGATGTCACAAGACAGCTATTTCAATGCTTTTCTTGGTGGGAAGCTTCCCTGCAGCTCTCTGTGGCGAGAATGTTTAGGCTTGAAAGGCCTTGTAGTAGCCAGCAGCCTGTTGGCATTGTTGGTGTGTAAATATTTGCTTTAGCTGTGGTATCTGGACAGCCTGACAGCCTTTGGCCCCTCTGCTCTGCTCTAGCTTGCAGAACTGCTGTGGGGACTCTGGCAGAGGCTCTGAAATCCAGTATCTGATGTATCTGTATCCCAGGGAACCTGGGCTGGCCACTCCACAGTGGAAACCTTCACTGGGCTTGTAAACACTTGCTCTCCCGGCTTGGCTTGAGTCCTTAAGCACCTCTTGGGTCTGTGCCATAAGTTCAACAGAAGTTTTTGAAAGGCATTGCTGTTTTGTGGAGTTCCTGTTGCATTCCCCCCCCCTCTGTCCCACTACACTTGCAGCTGTGCATTAAACTGGCTCAGAAGACCAGTCTGGCTGAAGAGAACAGAGACTACTTGGACCAGCTTTGATGAGCATCTAAACTGTGACTCTGCCTTCTGTGTTGAAGTTCTGTAGCTTGAGAATGTGCTTGCTTTGGCTTTCATTGAGTATTCCCTCGGGTAGCTCAGCCCCAGCTTAAATTTACCTCTGGTTAGTTTTCTTCACTGAAATACCTCTAGCCTGGCAGAGATGTGCAGTTTATAGCTTTGACCTTTATTCAAGACCTTTATTCTTCTAATTGCTCAAAATAAAATATAGGGCAGTGCAGGGACAACAACAGTACCATGGGGTAGCAGTGTATGAGGGTTTGTAGCCTCAGATCCCTAGTAGACCTCTTTTCCCAAACCCCTTTGGGAAGGCCTTGCCTCTGTGATCTCTTTAGTATCCTGATGTGTTGGGACAACTCAGCCTGGACTTTTTTCTCCTGTCTCCTGGCAAGCTCACCACCCTGGAAACAGCTTTGGCCTTCACCTGGAAACCTTCAGGCTGAGAACAAGAAAATCAGTCCTAAACCTACCCTTTGGGTGCCTTAAGCCAACAGGAAAACCGGCTCAGAACTAAAGTACTTAACTCTCTGGAGTGCTGTAGCTTAGGTAAATGCCCCCAGGATCAGCATTAATTGCAGTATGTTAGAACCCAGTGACCTGCTTAAGTCTTTGCAGGATCGGGACCTAAATACCCCAAACTCTGTAAGCTGCTTGGGGAAAAGCCCAGCAGAAAGGAGGTGCCATCACCACTTCCAAAGCAGCAGCTCTTTAAAATACATGGCCAGGCTCCTGCAGCCCTCCATACCAAAATAATCCTAAAGCAGGTAAATTGCAGAGGGACAAACTCCTACGCAGTGTTTCTCTCTTCCCTTGCCCCTCCATTTGCCAGGAAGGCACTGGGAGAGCTTTTTCCAAAGCAGCATTGCATGCTGCCTGAACCTGCAGCAGGTTTCTGCCCTGACTGCCCCCTTGATGAGGGGTTGATTCCCCAGGTCACTCCCTCCCTACTGGCTGCAGCCCCTGTCCCTCTCTGGAGGGTGTGTGTTGCTGGCATGATTGACTCATCCCCCTTTCGAAGCTGATCCTATACTTAAGAGGTAATTAAGACCAGTTAGTGGTCTAAAAAATCGTTAAGGGCATCTTCCATTTTTAAACTACCTGAGGTGGCTCTGCCTTCTACGTGTTTACTGCCCTTTTTTCCACAGACCTATCGAGAGAAGAAACAGAGGCTTTTTATTTGGAAATACTGTGCTGATGGGAAGAGCAATTTATCTGAAGAAGGAAAAAGATGTTTAGGGCTCCATGACATTCAATCTACATACACGAGACACTGCAAAGTATGTTTATGTAAAGTGGGTCTCGATTGACCTAAACCAGGGACAGAATAAAGATGATTTTGTGAGTTCTCCTGATCATGTTAGAGCTTCCTCAACCCGCCTGGCCCTGCTGCCCACAGACCTGTATCTGCCTACAGAGTCTGCACTGAGCACTCAGCAGCAGGTCTGGCTGCCCCTGAGCTGGCTCCAGGCTGCCTGCATTGCCTGGGGCAGAATCCAGCCCCAGGACAGCATTCCCAAGTTGGGAAAGGTTGTTATCTTCAGGTGAGGTGGCCTTTTGTGGGCTGCAGAGTTTAGTAAAGCTGATATGCCTCCCTGACTTTGTATTTCTCCTTCAGTAATCAGGAGTCCTGCCCCAGAGGAGATAAACCCAATCTACTCTTTGTTCCCCACTGAGCTCTGGGGCCTGGGTAGGCACCGGTGTGGTGCCATGAGTCTGGATGCTCAGAGCTGGGTGGAGTTGCCTTTATTAACCCAGCCTTCGGGAGGGGGCTGGGACAGCCACAGCCTCTGGCAGGCAGGTTAAAAACCACCACATCGCTGCTCCTGCACTGTCTGCAGGCCTGCAGAGCCTGGACGTGGGACTGGGCAGAGGCTGTGGCCGAAGGAAATAACAGGTTTCTTTTTATAGCCTGGTCTAGTCTGCCCTTGACATTAAGAGAGCCTCTCCATCTCGGGGTGTGCTGCCAACAGGGCAGAGGCAGGTGGTTTGTTGTGCTGGGGGAGCAGGGCACAAAGCTCCTCCTTGACAGCAGGAGAAGGGACTTGTCACCCTGGGAAGAAAATGTCCTCTGCCATTTCCAGGAAAACAGTATTTGGCTACAAGAAATGAGGAAGAGTTTGTAGGGCAGGAAATAGAAATATCTCTATTAGGTCAGCCAATGTTGTGGGAAAAGTAGATTAGTTTTCACACATTAGAGCCCCTCCGGGAGTTTGGAAGAAGCTCCATATTCATGTTTTGTGCAATTGCCTGGCTCTGGCCAACATTCCCTGGAGGGTACTAACCTATGCAATCCCACCTGTGAGCTCTGGGCACTTGTCCAGAGCATAAGAGTTCAAGGTTTCTGTTTCCTGGACTCTTTGTGGTGTCAGCAGGAAAAGCAAACAGGGCCATTTCGACACGCTAATGACTGGGAGGGAGTCAGGTATCTTCAGCCACAGTGAACTGAGGCTCTTTGTCCGTTCTGCAACGTAAAATGCAGAGCCAGATCATGGAGCATAAAGGGGTTGGTTTGGTTTTTTCCCCTCTGGATAATTCTCTTAACATTACTTGTCCCTTTTTCAGTGGTTTAAAGACGAGATTTCCCTGAAGGTTTCTCTCTACTCGTGTTGCTGTACGTCTCTGCCCAGTTCTCTAGGCTAATTCTTAGCTGCTGCTTTTTCCCTTTAGCTCATGGTGGGCCCACGTGGAGATGGGTCCCCCCGACCCCATCCTGGGGGTGACAGAAGCTTTCAAGCGCGACACCAACTCCAAGAAGATGAACCTGGGTGTGGGGGCGTACCGGGATGACAACGGGAAGCCCTATGTCCTGAACTGTGTCCGCAAGGTGAGCCGGGTGCTGGCCAGGGCCAGGTGTCAGGGAGGGGGAAAGCCGCTGAGCAAGGCTTGTCTGTCGGTCCTTAAAATAAACTTTGTCACTAACAGAGCAGGAAATGTTCCTGGATGTCTCCTAATGCTTTTGAGGCATGACAGAGCCGTTAGGTAGTAGGGGACAAAACAGGAAATACATGTCCTGTTCCCATTCGGGTAACCCTTAACTAATTGCTGACTTGCACAACCCCTCCAATACACCTGTCCTTTCAACTTGAAGGTGTTTCTTGAATAGGCTGATGTTCCCTGGGCCACCCAACATGGGAGGAAAGACCTGATATTGTCCCCTTAATGGATTAGTCTTAGAAATTCTGTTGAGCCGATGTTACCAATTTCTCCATAAGCCAGTCTAAAACTCCAGCCCAGGGAACAGAGTGTGGACATTGCCCTGAGGGGATTATGGGGTCTTTCAGGGCTGTCAGGGTAGAAATAGGCTGTTAAATATTTGGCAGCTGACACACACACTGATTGGCTGATCTCCTTGGAGCTGGGGGGGTGTGTTGTCCATGTGTCTCACCAGTGGGGGGTTTAAAGTCATCCTTTGCCCTCCCTCTCCCCGTGTACTGGGTCACAACCAGAAGGCCTTGTTGGTGTTGCAGGGACAGTTTCCTGGTGGTGTGTGACTGCTGCCAGGGTCTGTCCCACTCTCAGCATGATGAGGCCAGGCAAAAGGCTTGCTACCCTGCCTGGTCCAGGCATGTCACCTGTATAGACATAATATCTGTCTTTCAGTAACGCTCAAGACTCACCTTCCTGCATGACACTTCCTGCTTGGGCAGAGAAATGTATGTCCTTGTGCAGCACCACTGACTTTTAATGGGCTGGAAGCGGTGCTCTCCTCTGGTGTTGGGTGTCCTGGCTCTGCTGTACTGGCACTGGCACCCACTGAGGGCTCTGGTGGCTGCTGGGCACCACATCCCCTGGTACAAGCAGGATTTCATCTGAGATGTTTACTGCTGCCCTTTGCTTGGATTGAGCCCTGAACAGAAACTCCTGTAAACCAACTTTTGCCCCTTTTGAGCAAGCAGAAAGTGCAGAGAAGTGACCTCAAGCTGCCCACTGTCCTCCCCACGGGGATGCCTTCTGTGCTGAATGTGTGTCCTCTCTTCCAGGCTGAGGCCATGATAGCATCCAAGAAGATGGACAAGGAGTACTTGCCCATTGGGGGACTGGCAGATTTCACCCGGGCATCCGCAGAGCTGGCCCTGGGTGAAAACAGCGAGGTCATAAAGAGCGGCCGGGTAAGGAGGGGCTGGGGCACGGCGGGTACTGATGGCTCTGAGCTGTGGGCTGGCTGGGCCCAAGGCTAACTGTGAGGCTGGGGTGGAACAGCCCTGTCCCAGGAAGGGATTTAACCTTGCCAGGGCGCCCAAATCCCTGCCCTGCAACTGGAGCTGCTGAGCCTCGCAACCCCTCCATCCCTTGTCCCTGTTTTGGTGTGCTGATATAGGGACTGTACTTCCCCGTATCCTAACGGGGCTGCTCACACTCAGGTATCTCTTTCTTCCCTTGCAGTACGTCACTGTGCAGGGCATTTCTGGGACCGGATCTCTGCGGATTGGAGCCAACTTTTTGGTGAGTCCTTGGCCAGTGGGGGAAGGAAAGGACGTATTTTGACCAGAGCTGAATCTCTAGGGTCTTCTAACTGCCTGAATCTATTCAACCTGTTTGAACACTCTGTCTTTTCTCTTGACCAGGACCGGTTCTTCAAGCCTAGCCGTCATGTGTACCTACCCAAGCCGTCCTGGGGCAATCACACCCCCATTTTCCGTGATGCTGGCATGCAGCTTCAGTCTTACCGCTACTACGACCCCAAGACGTGCAGCCTTGACTTCTCTGGAGCCATAGATGACATTTCTGTGAGTTGCCTTCCATGCCTGGAAGCAGGGAGGTGATGTGGGGAGATGGATGATGATCTTACTTTACCCTAAATATGATCCCACATGAAGCTGTGTCAGGGAGGGTTTAGGCTGGGTATTAGGGGCTGGGTATTAGGAAGAGGTTCTTCACCCAGAGGGTGGTTGGGGCACTGGAACAGGCTCCCCAGGGAAGTAGTCATGGCACCAAGCCTGCCAGAGTTCAAGGAGCATTTGGACAACTTGTGCACAGGGTGTGATTCTTGGGGTTGTCCTGTGCAGGGCCAGGAGTTGGACTCAGTGATCCTTGTGGTGGGTCCTTTCCAACTCAGGATATTCTATCCTACAATGCTTGAAGGCACTAAATCAAGTCTGGAACCCTTGCAGAGCTCATCTAAGCTGTCTAGGGCATGAGTCTCATCTCTGCTGCTGAGGAGAGCGCTCAGGTACCATTAATAATTCATTTTCTGTAATGTTTTCCTTAGAAAATTCCAGAGAAGAGCATCATCCTCTTGCATGCCTGTGCTCACAACCCCACTGGGGTGGATCCCCGGCAGGAGCAATGGAAGGAGTTGGCAGCAGTAGTGAAGGTGAGCAGTGTCCCAGGGGTACTGTACCATTCCTGGGGAAACCACAACTGGCCTTTCATGGGTGGCACCTGGTCTTCGCTTTGGTAAAGGTTACTCCCTTCCCTGAAGCCAAGATGGGTGTCATGTTCCTGACAGGAGCCAGACAAATGCACCCATCGGGCTTCTGGCTGACCATGAGACTTTCTGCTGGCACCTTCCCAGGAGCTGGGACAAGGATACCTGAAAGGAGAGCAGGGTTGAAAGAGTGATCTGTGATCGCTGGAGTGGAGCTCCCAGTGTTGGTGTATTCAAAATGCTGCAAGGTCTTTCATGTGCCCAGTGTCTCCTCACAAGCTTCAGCTGGAAACAGGCAGGGACAGGTTCTACCCTGTCCTCCTCCTCCCTGCTGCTCACTCAAGCTGTAGCCAGAGAAATTTGGCTTGGGGATGCCTTAGTAGTGTCCTGAGAACTGGTAGATATCAAAGTGGCCTCTGTGGCCCCCAGAAGGCTGTAGGTCTCCTGACTGAAGGGCACTGTGGCTGGGTTATCTGCCTGGAGGAACTGGAAGGGCAGGCACCTGCCTAGAGAGTTCCCAGGTGGTTTCCTGGAAACTGATAATACAGAAGACACTGAAATAGAATATTTTATTACTGCTGAATCCATTTGTGCCTCCTGTGCCAGACTGCACATCCCATAAATGCACTGGAGGGTTTTTAGCTGCTGTTTTGATGTGTGGTGGGCAGCTGCAGGTTTTGGGCTGCTTCCCCTGTGGCAAAGGAAGGGGAGTGCCTCTCCTGGAGGAGAATGGTTGCAGGCGGGCAGGCCGCTGCCTGTGTAGCTCTTTTCACCCTGCTGCCCTGCTCCCTGGAGGGGTGCTCAGCTCCCATGACACTCTCTCCCCTCTTTACTGGCAGAAACGAAACCTCCTTGTGTACTTTGACATGGCCTACCAGGGCTTTGCCAGCGGGGACATCAACCGGGACGCCTGGGCCGTGCGGCACTTCATCGAGCAGGGCATCAACATCGTCCTCGCGCAGTCCTTCGCTAAGAACATGGGGCTCTACGGTGAGGGGGCCTGGAAGGGCTTTCATCCAGGCTGCTGGAGGCACCCCGGTGCCTCTGGGGTTTAGCAGCCAGTGTCTTCCTGCTGCCTGTGTTCATCCTGCTGTACTGGGTGGGGATAACCCGCTGGAGACCCTTCTAGAGAACAGAGATCCACTAAAGCTGTGTGGCGTTGGGTGTCACAGTATAAGAAGGATATAGAGCTTTTAGAGAGCATCCAAAGGACAAAGGGCAAGGGGTCTAGAGGGGAAGCCATACAAGGAGCAGCTGAGGGCACTTGGCTTGTTCAGGCTGGGGGAGACTGAGGGCAGAGCTCATCACAGGCTGCAGCTTCTCACAAGGGGCAGCACTGATCACTGGTCACTGTGTTCTCTGTGACCAGTGACAGGACCCGAGGGAACGGCTGGAGCTGTGCCAGGAGAGGTTTAGATTTGATATTAGGAAAAAAGGTCTTTACCCAGAGGGTGGTTGGGCACTGGAATGGGCTCCCCAGGGAAACAGTCACAGCACCAAGCCTGACAGAGTTTGAGTGTTTGGGCAGTGCTCTCAGGTGTGATTCTTGGTGTTCTGTGCAGGGCCAGGAGCTGGACTCGATGATCCTTGTGGTGGGTCCCTTCCAACTCGGAGTATTCTATGATTCTCTTTCAGGAGAGCGTGCGGGCGCCTTCACAGTGGTCTGCAGCGACGCAGAGGAAGCCAAGAGGGTCGAGTCACAGCTGAAGATCCTCATCCGTCCCATGTACTCCAACCCACCCATGAACGGAGCCCGCATTGCCTCTACGATCCTGAACACCCCTGACCTGCGGAAGGAGTGGTAAGAAGGAACCTGTAATGCTCACAACAGTGAGGTGTGAGTCTCTTTGTGGCAGCCCTGTGCTGTGCTTATTGCCTGCTGCTGTCACAGGCAGCTCTTAGCTTCAGGAACAGTCAGAACCATGTGCCACCCCTTTTCACTGGAGAAATCCCTGCTCATGTCCTGGCATCAGCTGGTATTGGTCTAGCTTGATACAAACAGGTTTTCCTTGTGTTACCAAGGCAGAAAACACTGTAAAGGAGGGATAAAGCTCCCCTGGGATTAAGGGCTGCAGGAGCTGCCTATCCAAGAAGCACAAAAGTCTGACTGAAACGCTGCAGCCACGTAGTGTCTCTCACATGGGGGAAATGGAAGCATAAGCCCCCTGGGAATAAGACCAGGAATGTAACCCTCATGCCCTAAGCCTGCTTCCTGGCAGCCTGGGCTGTTCTCCCAGGTCCTCGGTGTCGGGTCCCTACCAGCAGCTGGCCTGGCAGAACAAAGGCTGGCAGTGTGCTGTGGCCTCGCTGGGGGCTGTGTTCTTTTGGCAGCCTGATGCTTGTGCCTGATCCAGGGCCCAGCAGAGACATCTCCTAGCTGTGTTGCCTTGGAGCAGGGCCTGTCTGCCTGTGCTGGAAGCTGCCCCTGCACTCTGGGTTTATCTGTAGATACTTTACGTGGGTTTGGGCAGGGCTGCCGTGAGGCATCCTGCTGAGCTGTGGCTTTCAGACATGAGAAATGCCTACACTCTGGGAGTAGTGTCCCACACTATGAAACAAATACATAGCAGTCGGCTTCAGGTATCAGGAGAAAGAAGCAGCTCCCCAGCTGGAGCTACATCTTCATGTTCCCTGGTCTTTGCTCGTCTGCATCCCCGTATGAGGCCCCTCGAGGTGGAGAGGTCGATTCCCAGTAGCTGGGGTGGGAAGAGCAGTGTTGGGGTGTTCCAGCCCTGCTCTGAGCGGTTCCTTGGTTGGCTCCTCAGGCTGGTGGAGGTGAAGAGCATGGCTGACCGGATCATCAGCATGCGGAATCAGCTGGTGTCCAACCTCAAGAAGGAGGGATCCTCCCGCAACTGGCAGCACATCACTGACCAGATTGGCATGTTTTGCTTCACAGGGCTGAAACCTGACCAGGTAAACGCAATTCCTGTGGTCTCAAAGTGTCCTTTGCGTCCTTATCAGTAAGTTTTTGACTGCAGGTGCCAAGCTGGGTAAATTTGCACTCTGCTGGCAGAGCAGAGGTTGGCCTGTGGTTAACTCTGCTCTTTCCCCCCAGGTGGATCGGCTGACGAAGGAGTTCTCCATCTACATGACAAAGGATGGACGCATCTCTGTGGCAGGAGTTTCATCAGGCAACGTAGGTTACCTGGCTCATGCCATCCATCAAGTCACAAAGTAAAGACAAAGGTGTGCCCTGGAGCTGGTGGCTTTCCCTTCCCCACCAGTCAAAGATGGGGAGGGAAAAGAAACAAGCAGAATACTTCCAGCCACAGCACTTGAAGCCGCCGCTGAATGTATCTTGTAGATGAGTTGTTGTAGAAGCCTAGTCAAATCCTCCCTGCGTTGTGGAGCAGGGACATCATTGCTGGCTCCTGCTCGTCACAGCTGCTCTTCCCTTCTGTCCATCCTTTCTCCATCAGCCCCAGCACCCTTCTGCGCTGGAGGAAGCAAAGGCTTAGCCGTGCCATCCTACTGGCGTAGGCACCAAAGGCTTCCCCACACTCGTTTTCCCATGAGGAGGCTTTGGGAGGCTGTTGGCTGCTTGCCCGAGTGGCAGCGGGCAGGGAGCTGGGTGGGCTGAGTGGGAAGGCTGCTCCAGTGCACTGCTCCGACCTCCTCAGCCAGTCCCTGCTGCCAGCAGGCTCCATCCTCCTCCATCCTCCCAGCCTGGGGCTGGGCAGCACCAAAGCTGTCCTCTGACAACCAGCTCTGAGGACTTCTGACTACCAAACTCTGCTCCATCGATGGCTTCGCTCTTTCCATCTGGGACTCTCCTCTCAGGTGTAATTCACAGTGGCATCGGTGTGTGGGGCAGTGCCCTCCTCTAAACCTGCCTGGTTCTCCTGACTTCACTCTTGTACCCTGAGGTGAAACCATTTCTCATTCCCCCCCAGTAAGAACCACCTCTGGAAACTGCTCTCTGGTGCTCTCTGCCTCACCCCATTCCTGCCCTAAGCCCAGCAGTCCAGCCCTGTACCTCCAGTTGCCCTCCCTTCAGTCTTTGTGTGTGTCCCAAAGCCCTAAGCCAAGAGGTTGGTCCTGCTGTGTGTCCCCCCTCATGTGGGGTGCCCCTCTCATCTGCTCTGTTCAACCACATTTCTGGTGACACCAGAAAACACAAAAGCTCCTGAGGGAAGTCTGAGGGGAGAACTGAGTGTCCCCGAGGTCCTGTGACTCACTGGACTCTGATTTTTAATCCAAATAAACTGGTGCATGGCTATGTTGAGCTGGGGACTTCATCCTGTCATTGTGCAGCTGGATCCTGTCCCTTCCATGCACCAAACATTCCCTTTTGGTGACGTGCCAGCACCTGGGGTCTTGTAGGGCCAGTGAAACCCTGATCTGAGAATCCCACATGGAGAGAGGGCAGTTCCCACCAGTGTGCTACAAGACCACAGGGGTGTGTGAGCTGAGGTCCCAGGTGGGAGTTGGTGTCGTGGAGCTGAAATTGAAGCCTGCAGGGTTGAACGTAGATGTTGCTGGGGAGAGGACAAGTTCCCAAAGACTTCCTGCCTTGGGACATGGGGCTAACCCCTGCCACTGGAGCACGACGGGGTTTCTCCTTGGGGTTTCTCCTTGCGGCAGCCCAAGGTGCCTCCCGAGGCAGACCCGGGGGCATTACCTCTGCATCTACATGAGCTTTCTCCATCTGCTGGCACCTTTCCCCTCTGCAGCCATACCAGGGTATTTAGTAGAGCAGTCGTCATTTCTCATTCCTGCCCAGGGCAGCCGTGTGCCCCTTGGGAGCTGGCAAGGACCGGTCTAGTGCACCTCTCCCAGTCCAGCGCGCGTTGTTGGCAGGCTGGAGCCTCCCGCCGCTCCCTGACAGCGGGTTTGCACTTCCACGCCTCTTGTTTACTGGCCCGGTGCCCACAGCCGCTGCTTGCTGTCCTTTGTGCAATAAACCGCTTTCCGTGCTGCTGCCGTGGGTGCTGCCCTCGGCGCTGCGGGTTCCTGTGCTGTGGTTCCCCGGTTCTGCGTGGCTCCGGAGCTGCCTCCTCCTGCCCTTTTACTCTACCTGGGGTCTTTCTCCCGCCCGTTCCCTGTACAATAAAAGCACCCTGGAGCACAGCCCTGTCTGTCGCCCTCTCCTTGCCGCGGGTCCCCGCGCGGCTCAGCCGCAGGGACGGGCTGCCCGAAGGGGGAGCCCCTCGGTGATGCTCCCCGGGATGCGGGGCCGGACTACAACCCCCGGCGTGCAGCGGGCAGGGCGGAGCCGCCGCCGCGCTGCCGCCGCCGAGCCCGGCCGGGGCTGGGACCGGCACCGGGGCCGAGCGGAGCGGGTCTGCTCCCACCGCCCGGTGAGTGGGGCCGGGCTGCGGGGCTGCGGGGGTGGAGGGACACGCGGGGGTGGGGCAGCACCGCGTCCCCCGGGGCATCCCCTGCGAGCGGGGGGTGGCCGTCACCGGTTCCGGGCCTTGCTTTTCGGGGTGGGGGGCGCCGCCGGGGCTGTCGAGTCACCCTCGGAGAAACGCCTGCTCTCGGGGTCTGCGGTTGTCAGAGTATGGCGGCGTTGCCTGGGGGGAAAGGACCCTTCAGTATCTTCCCCCGGCCCTGAGAGAAGCCTCGACCCCCTGCAGCATCCTCGGCCGGGTGGGAGCTGCAGCCCACGCGGACCCACCGGCCCGTCCCCTCCACGTTCCTGCCCACAGGGGAGAGGGCAGCCCTTCCTCACCTTTCCCAGAAATCTTTGAAGAGGATTCATAGCACAAGCACAGGGTTTAAATAGCCCAGAAGCAAAGGGTGGGCTGGGCAGGAAGAGTCTCTGTAGATGTCGTCTACGGAAAAAAAAAATTATTTCCCTTGAAAAGAGATTTCCCGTGGCCGTGTAGGTCCCTGCAAAGCCCTGACAGGTTGTGAGGGTTGATTTCCTCCAGCTTGGAGGCACTGAGATGAGATCTGGGCTGTCCCACCCCCAAAAGCTGCGATGCTGGAAACACCAGATCTTCAGGTCCAAAAGCTTCTGAGACATGTGCCAGTGTTCACCCTGGGCGTGCTCTGGAAGGGGCCAGTCCTGCTTTTCCTGGTGACATGGTGTTCCTGCTGCACATGTGGGTCATTCCCGTTGAGCTCAGCCTTGCCCTTTACCCAGGATCACGTGCACAGTGGCTCTTGCAGAGCTTGCAGGAATTGGGGTTGGAAATTAGGAAGCCGTGACGCTGGGTCTCGTGCCCACAGAAAGGCGAGTCCTGCTGTGAGGCTGCAGCTCCCCAGCCCCGGAGGTGGGGCTCAGCCCCCCATCCGGCAGCAGCAGTGTCCTCTCCCTGGATCTGGGGCACGAGAGGTGAGTTCTTCTGCTGTGTCTCTGCTGGTGTGAGGACACCTGCGTGCTGTTACCCCCCCAAACTGAGACCCAGGGAGCTTGTTTTCCCTGTGCCTCCATCTGATGCCCAGGTTGTCCCTTGTTAAGGTAATTTAACTAACACTTAACCCCTTCATCATCCCCTCCTAGGAGCAGGGAAGTGCCTGACCCCCGTGTTGCTGCATCCCAGCCTGCCTGTTTCCTGCCCTCCCTGCCTGATGGAGCCAGTGCTGGCAGAGAACCCTCCTCGAAGCGACGGGCTGAGCCTGGTGCAGGACCACTAGTGGGACGTGGACAGTGGCGTGTGGCACCCTAGGAAGGACGATGGCTCAGGGCACCGGGAGCATCAACAGCGACTACAAGGACTGGGAGTGGAGCGACGATGCTGGGGAACGGGCCAGGCTCCTGCAGAGCCCCAGCGTGGAGACACTGCCCAAGAGCGCGGAGAGCCAAGGGAACGGTCTGGGGGCCACGTCGGCTCTGGGGGCTGTCTTCATTGTGGTCAACGCCGCCCTCGGCGCTGGGCTGCTCAACTTCCCTGCTGCCTTCAGCATGGCCGGCGGCGTGGCTGCCGGCGTCACCCTGCAGATGGTGAGAGGATGGGGAAGGGAAAGTCCCCTAAAGTCCCCGTCCCATCCTGGGAGGGTGCACGGGAGGGACATGTGGAGCTCCAGAAAGGGCTCAGGGAGGACCAAGCTGCTGGAAAGAAGCTCTGTTGGGTGAGGCACACCAGAGATGCTCAGTGTGTTCAGGGGTGGCTGCCCAGGGTGGCTTTGGGGACCATGTCATGTTGTTGCCTCAGTGTCCCCTCCCTGTCTCTTCCCCACCCTAGTGCATGTTGATCTTCATCATCGGAGGTCTGGTCATTCTGGCATACTGCTCTCAGGCCAGCAACGAGCGGACCTACCAGGAGGTTGTGTGGGCTGTCTGTGGGAAGGTGCCTGGTGTGCTGTGCGAGGTGGCCATCGCCGTCTACACCTTCGGCACCTGCATCGCCTTCCTCATCATCATCGGAGACCAGGAGGACAAGAGTAAGTGTGTCCCACAGAGCAACCGGTTGCTGTCCCTTCAGCTGGAAGGGACAACCTGATTGCCCTGGCTGTTCCCACAGTCATTGCTGCTCTGGTGAAGGAGCCCGAGGAAGCTGGGAGCAGCCGCTGGTACACAGACCGCAAGTTCACCATCAGCATCACCGCCTTCCTCCTCATCCTGCCCCTCTCCATCCCCAAGGAGATCGGCTTCCAAAAATATGCCAGGTCGGTAGGGAGAGTCCTCCAGGGCTGGGAGTCAGGGTAGGCCAGCCAGAACCCACCTAAGCACACAGAGTGGGGAGGCAGAGCACTGATGGTCTCCTGTCCCGTCTCGCAGCTCCCTCAGCGTGATCGGCACCTGGTATGTCACGGCCGTCATTATCATCAAGTACATCTGGCCTGACAAGGAGCTGGTGCCTGTGGAGATCCCCACCAGGTGAGAGGCAGTCACACAATGCTGATGGTGCCATCTCAGCACTGCAGAGCCTGGCAGGGGTGTGGGAGCGAGGGCTGCAAAGGGCTACAAATCTTTCGTGAGTCTCATCCCCGGACCTGGGGATGCTGCATGTTGCTGCCTTAAGCTCCCAAGTGGCTGCACCCCTCCATGTTTCAGAGGAGCAGGTGATGAGGAAGAGGAAGAGGATGTCTTGAAGGTCCCCACGGCTCCATTGCAGGTTTTGAGGAGCATTGATTGACTTTTAGCTCTGATACATCTGGGCCCTGAGTTCCCTGTGCAGTGCTTGTGCTCACCCAGCAACAAGGGCTGTGTTTACTTTGGGATAATTTTGGTATTTCCTTGGCCAGCACAGCCTCTGTGGCTTGTTCCCTCCCTCGCAGTGTGGGCATGTTTCTGGAGCCAGTGCAGGCAATGGAAATTTTTGGGCAGAGCAAAGGTTAGACCAGTTTTCTGTGCCGCCCAATTAGATCCTTATTTTTTACTGATACTTTTACTTTTGTATGCTCAGGTTCTGTCTCAGTGAAAGGCCCTGGTTTTCAGGGGGTGCCAGGCACTCCACGCAGTGGTATCATGCTGGGTGGGGGGATGCAATAACAGCAGACACTGAGCACTCCCAGCTCATCCTCCCCTGGGCACTGGTTGGGGGACACAGGGAGCCCTGGTCTGACTGGTGGGTGTTTCTCTCCCACCAGCCCCTCCACCTGGACAGCTGTCTTCAATGCCATGCCCACCATTTGCTTTGGGTTCCAGGTAAGGCCACGAGCCCAGCACTCCCCTTCCATGCCATTGCTGCTTGGGTTGGGGACCAGCGTGATCCAGGGATGCTCCCCTGGGTGATTGGCTAAAACCCTCCCCATGTGCTCACTGCACAGCTTTGGGAGGGGGCTGAAGCCTTTTTAACATCTTACCACCTCTGGATGGAGGCGGATCCATTTTCCCCCAGCTGGGAAGTCCAGGGAAGGCTGTCACTCCACTTTTTCTTCCCCAGTGACAAACCTGGGGGGATCAGGATATCACAACAAGCCTGGGATATCACAAGTGGGATGCTGCATGGCTCAGCCCATCGTGTATCCCTGTATGTGTCTGTGTCCTGGCAGTGCCACATGAGCAGCGTGCCCGTGTTTAACAGCATGAAGCAGCCGGAGGTGAAGACCTGGGGGGCAGTGGTGACAGTAGCCATGGTGATCGCTCTCTTTGTCTACACAGGCACTGGTGAGTGAGGGGGTGGTACCACATGGGTGTGGCACAGTCCTTGGAGAGGCTGTGAACTTCTGGAGGGCAGGGACCCTCTGGTCAGCAAGAGTGGAAAGGGAGGGGAGTCCATCCAACCCCCTCTGCAGTGTGCCCTGTGCCATATCCATCCAAGTCTGGTCCTTCAAACAGAAGTGCAGGAGACTTTTCCCTGTCCACTGCTGACTGCTCCCTTCCTGGCAGGTGTCTGTGGCTTCTTAACCTTTGGAGCTGGGGTGGACCAGGATGTGTTGATGTCCTACCCCTCCAATGACATCCCTGTTGCCCTGGCCCGGGCCTTCATCATCCTCTGCGTGCTGACATCCTACCCCATCCTGCACTTCTGTGGCCGGTGAGCACTGGGAGAAGGCAGGGGCTGGTGTGGGCAGGAGGGGCAGCACAGGGAAGCCCCCCTGCCCTGGGTCTGTGCCCACAGGGCTGTCTTGGAGGGTCTCTGGCTCCGCTACACCGGGGTGACGGTGGAAGAGGACGTGGTTCGGGAGCGGAGGAGGCGCCTGCTTCAGACCATCAGCTGGTTCCTCCTGACCCTCCTCCTGGCTCTCTTCATCCCTGACATCGGCAAAGTCATCTCTGTCATTGGGGGCTTGGCCGCCTGCTTCATCTTTGTCTTCCCAGGTAGGGCATCCTGGGATGCTCGGGGGCTGGCAGAGGTCTCTTGGCCTTGTGTCTTGAAGAGGGAGGGAACAGGATGGTGCCTGGAATCAGGAGGTTTTTAGAGAAGGACAAAAATGTGGCATGAGGTTGGTTGGCAGCCCAACTATTTTGACTGGACTCTGCTCTGTAACAGGGAGTGTGGCTCCCTGGCTTGTGGGATGTCTCCTTGGTCCCCAGGGCACAGTCCTCATCTGGGTCTAATTTGCCTCCCCTGCCTTTCAGGGCTCTGTCTGATTCAAACCAAGCTCTCCGAGATCCAAGAAACCAGGGCAATCAGGTAACTGAAATGTGCTTTCCCTCTCCCCCATTCCCCTGTGGGTATTGGGGTGAAGGTCCCCTGTAAAATGTGCCCTGTCCTCCTGCATCCACAGCTGGT